GTATTATATGTATATATATGTATATATATATATAAAACATATATAAAAAATTTACTTATATTTTATAAAAAAAATTAATTTTTATTTTATTCTTATAATTTTTATATAATACAATTTTAAATAGTATTTACAAATATTGGAAATTATAATTTCAAAAAAAAAATGATTTATTTACAATTATTTACAATTATTGAGTGTAAAATAAAATAATTTTGATAAATAATATGTTATATATAAGATTAGAAAGAAGAGAATTTGGAGAAATTAAGTAGATTATAAACTATATCTTTAACATTTATTAGCTCATGATGAATAAAAATATAAATTAACTGTTAACTTTTTTAATTCAGCAAAATATATTTTGGATATAATTGTATTTAATGCGTCATTGTTGTGCAATTTTTTATACATGTTTTTATACTTATTAAATAATTTATTAAAAAATTATTTACAAAAGAAATATGTAACTTGTTTCACATAGCTACTTGTAATATATCTCTAATAAAGTATCCAGCATTTTAAATTACCTTTTCTTACAAATAATAATGTTACATTTTCTTTTTTATTTTTGCTTTAATTTGATTCATATATTTCTATATATATATATCGTATCAATCTAAAATAACAATGTCATACAATGAAAATCATATAATAAATTATAATAACTATTATAACTAATATATTATATATTATAATATATTAATATATAATTATATTATATAATATATTATAATATAATATATTATTATATATAATAAGACATAATAATTTGTCTCAAATATATAGATATTAAAATAATATGTATAAGAATGATTATAATTGTTCCGTAAAAATTTGATATAAAATACAAAATAAAAAATATATTTAGGAACTTTATGTTATTCTTATAAAAGTGGAATTATGAAATTATGAAAATAAGTGAATTTCAATATAACAAAAAATAATAAAAAAATAATAAAATAATAATATAACAAAAAATAATGACACGAAAACAAATATTACAAATATAATAAATCGTAATGATTTTTTCACATATATATATGAAGATAAAAAAAAAATTTAAAAGGAACAATGAATTAATTGTTTACAAAACAAGTATTAATTAAATTAATAATTAATTAAAAATTAAAAATTAATAAAAACAATATTAATCGAAAATATCACATCAGAAATCAAACAAACAAATAATGATAAGCAAAATAAAGAAATATAAATTAGATTAGTTAAATTATAGTTTTAAACTATATATTTTTTTCATTATACTTCTAATTTCATCAATATAATTTTTAATTATAATAAGGTTAAAAATGCTTTTTTTAATTTAACAATTCTTTTTTTTTTTCTAATTATTTTATTATTGATTGTTTCAATAATTATTTCAATGATTATTTTATATCATTTATTTATATCATTATAGAATATACATTAAATATATGATATCCTATGATCACAGCAACTTACTGGGGAATATCTATGTAACAATCACTAGAATATAAAATATTTTTTATCAAATTTATTTAAATATTATATTTTTATTCATTAAATAAAAAAAAAATAGAAATCATTGTATTTTTTATTATTTATATACAATATATAGATACTTGTTTGTATTATTCTATTCACAGATAAATTTAATTCATTTGAAAAGTGAAAATCAACCTAATTTCTATATTACATATATATATATATATATATATATATCTGAATGATAAATATTGTACCAAACATTGTGTCACAGCTGATTGTGAAAGAAAAATGTAAACAAAAACATAAAATTCATCATTAAAAAAAAATTTATATCGAAAAAATATTTATTTGTTTAATTTAATGTAACATCAAATGGCTGGCGAAAAAAATATTCTTAGTTTACGATTTAATCAAGATCAAGGTAATTATTATTCTTA